GTGGGTGTTTTGTCAGTTAGGTTGACGGTTGGACAAGATGATCTTTAAGGTCCCTTCCAACCTAGAAGATTCTGTGATTCTGTTTTCTGTGTCCAAAGATGGACAGAAGCTGGGATTAACTCTCATCAAGGTTCTAAACTTAGGTTTGCCTGTGTATATTTTGGAACGTACTCAGTATATGCAGATGGAGTTTTCTCAGCTTCCCTTGAGCAAGCACCGAATCCAGAGATGACGGGATGATTCATACTTCTGGAGGAGTGTTTTGTTGAAACAACAGCGATGCTGATGCCAGGGAAAATGATGATTCTGCCTGTTTTCTATGAAAATTAATAGATTCCATTTCTGTACAAGATGGGATTTACCTAGAAACACGGAATCCATATAGTATGTAGATTGCTTGTTAAACCTCACAGGAAATGGTAGTTAGGAGATTTTGCCGCTTATGAATACTGCCAATTTGAAGCCTATATAATATTAAAGCAAAGATTATGGAATGAGATGCAGTACCATATTTATGCATATGCTTAATTTTAATGCAAGTGCAGTAAAATATGAATAGAATTAGTCCATAAATGCTGATCTGGCCCTTATTCAGTCCTGAGCTTTGTTTTCAATTAAGGCAATTTACCTTGTTAATAGGGATTAGGCAACATGCCTTTAAAATACCTGCACAGATGAGTCCTAACCTGGACTGGGAAGTTCCTGGTGGATTCTGTTCTGGCTAACCTGTGTAGTTTAAAGGTCTGCAGGACTGTTTCTAAATTTTTCTACGCAAGCTGTGTGATTTTTTTGGTTCTGGCTTCCTAAAAGGCAAAATGAGCTGCCAGCACAGAGCTCGTTAACTGGGTGTGCTTGCTCTCTACTGTAGAGATACAGCCTGGAGAAATCAGGCCTGGAGGGACTTCCTGACCTTTTGGCTCCAAGGCTTCCAGTTTCAACTGGAAAATGTCAAAATACATATGATAATGTATTATTATCATTGCTTTTTGCTAGTGGTTTTAACGGTGGTTTGTCTCTTTCTGGTTTTCCCTCCAGGTGTGATATGAAGTGGTTTCAGAATTAAAAATAGAGATAAGCACAAATTAGAGATTAAGTGCACTAAAGAGAGGATCAGTTGGGTGGTAGAATGCTTCTAATTTTTTAATATATATATTTTTTTTACATTAATGGTAAAGGGATTAACATAAAGTGTTTCTGCAATGTGACACCAGCCCAATTTCTCTGTCATCCTCATTCACATGTCACCTCCCTCCTTATTTGTGTGGACAGATGTGAGCAATATCAGAGCCCATTTCGGGAAGAGTTATGGGATTATTAAATTAACTTTCTGAAGAAGGAACAATGAGATAAAAGTTGTTCACCTCCATAAGCAAAGTAGTTATTTGTATTTTTTTTTATTTAATTTGAAATGAAACTATTAAAATATTACTAGCAAAACCAGTACATAAGCACTGCATTTCAATTCTTTCTGAAATGGATATGGCTGACTATAATTGCGGTTTATGTAGGAATAACTACTGCTCTGAAGGACAGTTGTTTCTCCAGTTTCATCCCTAACCTGTGTTGCACCATAGACAATTACATCCTTCTGTTGACTAACCAAATCATCAGGGGCCTCTCAACTTGTTTTTCCCCATCCTATATTGAAATATGATGTAAATATATTTGTACCTTGACTTCACTTTTGCATCAGCATCTTAGGTTAATTAATTGCCTTGTGACCCTGCTTCACAGCCACACCATGACCTTTCACAGTAATCCCACGTGGCATTCTTCTAAGCGGGGAAACTACTACCTTGTGTTTCCCAAAGAAGTGAAGATGCACAATTTTAGTATGTGCAGTGCAATACATTCTTAGCCTATTAAGTCTTCTGAGTTTCAACGTGCAAAAACAAGATTGACATTCTTTGTACCTAAATTATTAATCTGTATTTTGTTCCTTTATACTAGAATTCCTTGTTAAGTGATGAGCTGAGGAGAAAGGTTTTTTGGTTTTGTTTTTTTTTCATATTCATGAACAGTTGAGATCAATGATATATTAAAATATTTTCATCGTGATGAGCATTTTGAAGCTGAGATATTCAGTTCATTGAATGTTCAGTTGATATTTTCTGGCCGCTCTGATATAACTTAGAGCTAGACACCAGTCATGACTCTGAGTTTGTACACATGTGACTGCCTCGTGGCACACATTTAAGACTGATTATTTCTTAGAAGAAGCATAGAGCTTTTTAAACAAAACTTTCTCTAGCATTTCTTCTTTCTCCCTTTCAGGTCACTTCTTTCAGCACGCCACCAACCCCAGAACGCAACAATCGCCCGTCCTTTTTCTCCCCATCCCTCAAGAGAAAAGTGCCCCGAAATCGAATTGCTGAGATGAAAAAATCCCACTCGGCAAATGACAGCGAGGAGTTCTTCAGAGATGAAGATGGTGGAGGTGAGAGAAGTAATATCAGCTAAACAGACTTATCTGGAGAGGGCACAGAGCTATGGAAAGGGATCCCAGGGCTGGATTTTCCAAAAGGTTTGCAGTGTAATAAAACCTAGCTGCACAGAAAGTCCAACACCAGTGTTACTCTGAAGTTGTGGTTATTCACAGGCTTGGCAACTCTTTGAAGGCTGGAGACCAACGATTCCTACATATGTTTAGAACTTACCTCCCCCTTTTATATAGGTTTTGAGGGAATATATTTTTTATATAGGCATTTGAGGGAAACTTGAGAATAAAGGGGAAAGATCTACCCCTTTCCCAGGTATCACACTTTCAGATGGCACTCTCCCAGATATCACAATATAGTCAGGCAGAGCATGCTCTTATGGACAGGTCCTCTGAATTCTCTAATTTGATCAAGAGTTGGTGAAAAGGCATTTATTTCAACCAGCTTTGGTTCAGTTCTGAGCTCTCTAAAACAAAAACCTAGTGAATTAATTTCTTATATATATATATATATAATGGTTTAACACATTGTGAACAAATTTTACGTTTTCCCAGACGTAGCACAGATATAAAATACTTAGTGATGTCATTTCACTGAATGATAAATGCTTTGACCTTATTGTTCCTAAGAGTGAACAGGAATATTTTAACAGTTTATGCTAGGAAGCTTAATTTATTCAGAGATGAGATTTCTACAAGGAAAAGTAACTAAATGAGCTTTCTTTACGAATTTCTGAAACATGAGTGTCCTACCAGTGTTCACCGCTGCAGTGGTGAAATTGTCTTGTTTTGAAGGGAAAAAGCTGACTTCAAAAAGCCCGTCACTGGGTGAACTGTAGAAGTGGAGATATTTGGGTGTATCTTGGCTTTGTGGATGGAGGAGAACTTGATTGTCTAAAGGCCAGCAGTGTCCTTGGTCTGGCTGCCAGTGCTGCTGCAGCCCTGCCCCCAGTACAGAAGGACCCGTTGTGGGTAGGAACAGCCCACAAGGGCCCACTTCACTTACTTTTGCTGTGTGCAAGCGTGACACAACAGGACAAAGTTGTATTTATTCTGGCTACCAGGTCCTTCTGACCTGATGACCACAGTTCTCTTGGCAGGGTGGCAGTGTGTGAAGGGAGGGAATAGACTGCTTGGTTACACAGGGGGAAGAGTGAAAAGAAGTTTTTCCTCCTGCCTTGTTATGCAGCTTGCAAGAGCAGCTGCCACTATGTATTTTTTCCTGTGCTAGGATCTCTTCATATGGATCAGGACCCACTTTTAAACAAATGAATCTCAGAGTTTGGATCACTCCAGACCAGCATTGTGTTTGCTTCAACATCTGCTTTGAGCACTGTGGGACAGAGCTGAGGTTTACGGGGGAATGGAAGGAAAGTCTAGAAATGCTCAATGTGCCCTGTGCCTTCCTGGCTGCAGGAGAGACCTGCAGGTATAAAAACTGCCTCTAGCCTACAGTGGATTTAACATCCTTTTGTTTTAAAAGTTATTTGTGGATCTCTAAACTAATTATGGGAAGAAAGGCACTGCTGAAGGGTCTCAGGTTTGGCATGGGGGGATGTATGGAAGTCTGTAGTGAACTGCCTTATAAATGCTGACTCTCCCTGTCTTGTAGATGTCAGTTTCCTTCATAAGGCACAATTTTACTTCTCTAACACTTGGGAATTTCTGCCTGGGTAACTATTTAATTGTAGGGATATTCTATTATTTTATAAATGGGAGAAGGCTGGATTAGGATTCTGCTTGGTAACAAGGGCTTCGTTCCCTCTCATGGATGGTCTGTTAGGGGGTAATGGTTTACTGCTGCTGCCCGCTGCTGGTACAATTCATTAGCTTCTGTGCTAATGGGGAATTCTGTGCTGGACAAGATCTGAGTGATTTTGAAAAAATAAAAATAGTAGTAATGGTGACCTGCATGTGATTTCTCTCTAGACAATAAATAGTAGGCTTGTCTTTTTCTGACTTTCAGAAGCTTTCATTGGCTCTTCCACTAAAATGCAGAAAGTATCATGACTTTAAGCTTGCTGTGTCTTCTACCTTCACAGACCTGCACAACGCGACAAACCTGCGGTCGCGGTCGTTGTCTGGAACGGGACGGTCTCTGGTGGGCTCGTGGCTGAAGCTGAACAGAACAGATGAAAACTTTCTACTCTATGCACACTTAACTTACATCACTTTGCCATTGCATCGAATTTTAACAGGTGAGTTTTAACGTCTATTACACACGAACATCCTTTGGTTCTCCATCAGCCTTCTGCATTGTGGGATTTTGCTGTTAAGACACAGGAGTGAGTATTTCTCTGTAAGGGAACATCACTTTGCAGAGCTCATTTGCTGATTGTAGCAGCAAATCAGCGTAAGTGGAACGGTGTCATCCTGCTCTCTGTCTTTGGGATAGTTTATCTTGGTGACGTTTCGAATAAGCGGAACGGTGTCAGCCTGCTCTCTGTCTTTGGGATAGTTTATCTTGGTGACGTTTCAAACAAGTTGGTAGATTGTTCTAACAAACTCCCAGAGGAACGCTTGTTGCTTTAATACTGGAGTTCAAACTTCATCCTTCTCATGAGTGCAAGGCAACTCACTGCGAGCCCATCCACTGAGGGTAATGGTTGTAGCTTAGAAGGTTAGACAAAGGCAGCTCTGGGATTTAGAGTGACCTCCTTTGCCAATTTTCATTCTTAAATTTAGTTTCCATATAAGTTAATTGGACTGATCAAAGTGGCCATACTGATGCCCATAAATCTGTCAGGTATCCGATATCTTTAACTACCCATAATGATGTTTGTGTGTCCCACCATGAGTAATCAGAGTCCCTGGTGTTGTTGGTTTAGCTATGCCAATTACTGCATTGATGATGGTCAACTCTGCATTTGTTCTGCTGGGTTAGGATAGCCCAATAAGTACTGAAGTTTTAATTTTCATCCAGGTAACTGTCATCTACCTATAAATACAGGTGGGCTAGAGAAAACAACTGGTCTGTTTGAAATGTATCTGTCAGCAAGCCTGCTAGCCTTTTAGGGATACAGCTTGCAGTATGAGGATGCCCATGGGACTCTTGAAATAAATCTGGAAAGGGCAAAAGCTATGGTGGTGAAGGGCTCTCCTGTCTAAATTCAGTGACAGTTTCTTTCATAGAGACATTCTTAGTGTTACCATCCACTCTCTTCATTGTTCCTGAGTGAAGCCCTGAAATGCCTTGTCGTTGACCATCATGAGCAGAAGTGAGTTTGATCCAGCTGCACAGCAGTATCTCTGGCAAAACTATTGCTAAACTCAAAAATCTAGACCAGGATAAAGTTATGATCCTAGAGCAATGTAAAGTTCTGTCTCTAAACCTGGAAGTTCCTTATAACTGGTGCTTCCTCTAAGAACTAAAGCTTTTTCCTCTGTTCCCATCCAGCAGATGGGATGACTCCTGAATATGTTTGTCTGGATTGTGGGCTTTTGATTGGTGCTTGCTTTTATTTTTCATCTGGGTCTGAAAAGGGAGCACACCTGAAAACAAAACCAATCTACTACATAGTGGTTATTTCCAGACTGTTCCTGAAAGGTAGCTAAAAGGAAAGGAGTTAGGAAATAAGTTGTTAAAGAGGTTAATCTTCTGCTAAAAGAGATTAGAAGGTAGCATTCGTATTAATGTCATTAGTTTTGTTGCACTAGTGTAATAGCAGTAGCTGTAGTCTTGTACTCATTTGCAGGCTGGGATCTCGAAGCCTGTTGCTTTTACTCTGCAGAGAAGAAAACTGTAGCTGATAAGGTAGAAGTGGAAATTACACTTAGCAAAGAGGTGTTTCTACATTTGTCCTTCCACTGTATGTAGTGATTGTTTTCAATTAAGAAGAAATTACAGATTCCAGTAAAAAATGATCCTCTGTAATTACGGGTGGATTTTGAACAAAGTTTCAGCAAAATATGTAATTATTCTTTATGATAATTGTGTTGATTATCTTACAGCTAGTTAGCTGGAGACATCAGGCTCACTCACTCTCTCACCACAGGCATTCTGGAGTTCACAGAAGACGTATTGTTCCTGCTGGCATTTAATACTTGCTCAAGTGGGTGGCATAAATGCCTCCGTGCTCAAATATTTGCTTTGAGCTTGAACATCCTTTCTGAGACTTAATTTGTTTAACATACGGTTGCAGGAGTCGGTGTATACATTGAGATGCACGGAAATAGGACATGAAATGTCGGGGCTGTAAGGCAGAATTTTAATCTGCGGTTTTTCACTACCCTCACTTGCTTTTGCTTGGCACATTGGGTAGAGTCCGTTTCCAGTGCCTGCTTGTAATTAATGCATTTGCACCAGTGGCAGCTTCCGGCAAGCGGGAGTGTTTGTTACACATGGGGCAGAGTGAAGTGGGAAAGATGCTCATCTCCCTTAGATAATTTAGGAAGCCTGCACTAAGGAACTAAAATCCCAGGGATAACGATCAAAGTACACTTTAAAACGTCCGGAGTTTATACATATTGATAAGACTTCCTTCTCTCTGAGCCTTCTCTCCGTGCTAGGTAATCCCAGTTCTCTCAGCCTCTCCTCATATGTCAGGTGCTCCAATCCCTTAATCATCTTTGTGGCCCTGTACTGGACTCACTCTGCTGTGTTTCAGTCTTTACAAGTGTGGATAGAGCCCTCAGAAGCTGTGGATCAATTTTTACTCGCGTCATCCTCTTTGTGCAGCTGTATGTGATCAGCCTTTTAATTACGCCTGTGCTCCTATTTCCCATGTTCTTTACTCTCTGTGCAGCCTTGAAAAGGACATTAACAGCCCAGTTTCCTGATAATTTCTACATGCTGCCATGCCAGCATGCTGGTTTTACTCTCCACGTTTGGAAAGATACCTGTGATTATGACAGATATTTTTACAGGTTCATATTCTGTCACATTTGGACAAACTGGACTTGAGGAGCCAACAAAAGGAGCGGTTTTTGTGGCAGCTTTTTTGAGTGCAGAAATGTAGACTTTGGGTTATAGAATGGATGAAACAGTTGAATTATTTGTACCTGCATCTTCAGAGCCAAAAGTGTCTTTAAGGATCTTGGGGGTGGTGCCCTTCTGCCTTCAAGGAGGGGAAAACCCTTGGCATCTCCTGTCATCGCGCTTCCACTTGTTTCTCTGTCAGGGAGTGCAGTGACAGGACAAGGGGTAATGGTTTTAAATCGAAAGAGGAGAGATTTAGATTAGATCTCAGGAAGAAACTCTTTCCTGTGAGGGTGGTGAGGCACTCGAACAGGTTGCCCAGAGAAGCTGTGGCTGCCCCATCCCTGGAGGGGTTCAAGGCCAGGCTGGATGGGGCTTTGAGCAACCTGGTCTGGTGGGAGGTGTCCCTGCCCAGGGCAGGGGGTTGGAACTCAACGATCTTCAAGGTCCCTTCCAACTCTAACCATTCTAAGATTACACCACTCTGACACATGTTGCTTCATCCCACTATAAATGATACTTAGTAGATGAGCCGTCATCTCTACGTGATGGGATATATGTGTGGTTTACCATGGCTCAACTAGGATGCATCTGGAGAGGGATCAAGCTGGACTTCAATAGGCAAAGTGACGTGCTTGACTTGTTTTAAATTCCTTTACTGGCCTAAAAGGGGCAACCTTTTGCATCTCTGGTTCTTCATGCTTTCTGGTGCCGTGGCTACTTGCAGGAGCCTCCTGAGTTTGCCGTGACCTCTGTTTCTCTCCCTTGCCCAGATATCCTGGAAGTGCGGCAGAAACCAATTCTGATGACATAGCAGAGAGCGGGCACTGCCTTGGAGCCTTGTTGCCAAGTGCCTACCCACAGCGGTTTTCTGTGCTGACGCCACCATCTAGTGGTCAGGAACCTAAACCTCCGCAGGAAAAAGGGAAGTCCAAGAATACCAGCCGATCAAAAAGTGCCTCTTTCTTCCTTCCTCTGCTGTCGTACACCCAATGCACACTTGGCGGTACATCGCTTGAGTGTTTCTGACTGGAAGAGGACTTTTCGAGCAAGATTTAAAAAGAGAAGGGGCTGTGTTTAAAACAACTCAACGCTTTCTGGACAGTTTGTTACTGTGTTTACTTTATAACTAAGAAACCAACGATGTGTACAGAATGTGTTAAACTTTATATTCTTTGAGAGAAACAACCCGAGAATTTCATAACGATGTACTAACGAACGTCGTTCCGTAGGCTCTCACCCATACACTCTCCTTGTCAGTTTGGCTTAATATGCGTGTGTGAGCGCGTGTCGGGGGGGATTGAAGGGATGGAAGAACAATTTCCTACTTGAGGGAGGAAAAAGGAAAAAGATGCTACAAAGATACATGGCCATTTTGGTACGTGCAGCGGGTCAGGTCAGAGCTTAAAAAGAGGCTGAAAATGTTCCCATTTGTTCATGTGTCAGTTTTAGGACAGGTGAACTCTGCTGACAGATTTCCGTATCTACCAAAGAACAGCAACGTTTTCATCCTCAAGAACTGGCGAAGAAAACGAGCCAGTGAAAAGAAGGCTAAAATGTGCTGCTATAGTCAAGCCGAGGTTCATATCCCGTACTAATGCTGCTTATCTCTCTCTCTTACCTGAGTCCATACCAGTTGGAGTCTAAAGTGGAAACACAGGAGGCCGTAACTGGACTCCAAAACCTGAAAACCTTACCAATAACCGACATCCTCCTGCGTGCACTGGACTTCAGAGTATGTGGAGTCATCCTTGATGGTAGCGTTTGTAGCCAAGGAGGACATGGGAGCTGCTTAAGGGCTGGGCAGCTTGCCTGGCTTCTTCATCTCCTGGTGGTGTTCTGGCTGTACCCTCACAGGCTGAAGCACAGAGTTTTCCTGAAAGGCAAAAGGCTGAAATGTAATTCTGCGCTGAAAAGTGACTAAAAATAGCATGGTGGGAGGGCTGAAAATTGTGTGTCAGGAGCTCTCAGGAAAAAAAAAAACAAACACAAACACCTTATGTTTACAGGTAAAATGCAGCTTTCTTTAAATAGCAAAACTCTGCTGTCCTTGATGTTTGGAAGCTAAATGCTTGAATACTGAGAATTCTGCAGTCTGGGTCACTGGTGTGATATGGGACCCAACCAATATTTCAGTTTGTTTACGGCTGCGTAACTGGCCCAGCAGAGCGTGGGGTAGCGTGTCACTTTGGGCATGGGAGACTCCAAAATATGCACAAATAGAGAGCCAAGATGCCATTTTTGTCACTTTTCGGACTCTGAGCACCTAAACTTAACGCTGCTGCCACAGTTACCAAATGGCCCGTGCTCTGAGCCTGGACCTTTGTCTCCCTCACACCCGGCCTGTCTTTCCCCAAGCGCTTTGTTGTTGTTCTTTCCATAGCACCTGGTGGCTTCACCTCTCAAATAGAACTTTCTGCCTCTTTATTTATTTTTTTTTTTTTTTTCCCCCCAGCTTCCCCCCTTCTGAACAAAGAAAAAATTTTTCCTCTTTACTTTTGTCCTTCAGAGCTCTGGAAGCCTTCACCTCTCAAATAGAACTTTCTGCCTCTTTATTTATTTTTTTTTTTTTTTTCCTCAGGCCAGGTTCCATGGGAGTAGCTCCACTTCAGCATAAAGGTAGACTAACTTTATCATTCAGCCCAACGTGGTTAACCCAGCATGGTAAGGAGGTCTTTTTGGGTTGGTTTTTTTTTTTAATTTGAGGCTAGGCCGGAAAGCAGTTACCTTGGGTGCCCGGGCTTCCTTCCTGAGCCAGGGGGGAGAGGTGAAGTCCTAAGTCAGCAGCTGAAGTGTCCTCTCAAGGAACTCACTAGGTAGCTTGGCTGAGATCCCAAGGTAGTGTGCCTGGTGTCGGTGGGTACGAGCATTCTGCTCGCTCTCCAGCTAGAAGACCAGTCCTACTCTGAAGCCTCTCAAGATGTTCCATATTTCTGCACTTTCGCACTGCCAGGCTGAGCAAATCAGTGCTTGGTTTCCCTTCAAATATTGATTGGAGAGAGAAGGGAAGAGAGGGTTAATATTCATACTACTAATGACAATTGATACCTTTCAGTGGAACAGCCAGAGGAATTACACAGGTGAAAAGGAAATGTATCCAGAGTGGAACCCAAGTGGTAGGTGCCTGAATGCTGCTCAGTCAACAGTAATTTTTAATGTGTTTTTTCTTTTTCATATAATGTATTATGTTTAGGTAGCTTAATTTCATGTGATCTGAAAGACTGAGCAAATCTTGCTGTGTAAGACTTCAGAGCAAACCAAGACTGATTCTAAACTAGTACATGGGTATAAAGGTGATGTTACAGAAAGTACAGCTCAGATGCCACGTGCGAGAGGTGTCCTCTGCTTTGTTACCTGTACGTGGGTGGATTATGATGTCTATAGTTTTTGAAGGGCTGCAATGTAAGTGTCCTGAAAAAAAATCAACTGTTTTATTGTATCCTGCTAGTGGATATACTATAGGTATGTTGAAGACTCACCTTTTTTTAATAGCAAAGGGCTACAGGTATGCCCAGATGGACATCCATAGAAAACACAGGTCAAAAAGTCGACTGAATGTTCAAAGTGCTTTTTGGAAACAAGTAGATGTGCCATATTTTCAGTTATTTCTTCTCTAAACAACTGACTTCAGGCTTCTTATGTATAGCCCCTGGTTCCCACTTCTTGTTATCAAATGTGGAAAACAAATACTCGGTTTTGTTTTGCTTTCAAACAAACCCTTAAAATCATAATTTATTGTCCTTGTGTAGACAGATTGACAGGGAAGAAGATCAGAGTTTTGCTGGGGCCCAGGTGGCACCGCTGGGCCCTTAACATGCTATTGTGCTATACCAAAAAAGAAAAGGGAATGTTAACTGGAACCTCTCACCTTTTTAATTTGGAGGGGTTTTTAATTCTGTAGGTCCTAAGCAAGTAAATGATTTTGAGCCTCTGTTGGCCATTGAAATAATTGCTGAGGAATGAACTGGCATGTCCTGCATGCTGTAAAGGCTGTACGGTTGTCTGTGTCTTAACTGTTGGAGCACGTGGTTTTCATTAGTTCTGTTGCTTGAGAAAGCAGTACAGTTAACAAATTTGGGAAGCTTTGCAGGGCACTTTGATTTATTTACAGAATCCCATCATACCTCACTACTCAGTTAACTTGTTCCATCCTTCTGCCCACTCCCTCCCTCTGGAGATCGATGCTTGGCCGCTTGAACTGTCCGTAGATGATGTATATTCATAGATGACAAATGCAAAGATAAAAGTCTTTTCACCCTTAGCAGGTTTTTCACTGCTGTCAGTTTAACAGGTAAAAAGCCTTTGTTTTTTAAGAAAGCTCTTAAATCAATTATTTTGAATTAAGCAGATTATTGCTCTGCCTTAGAGACCACCGTGTATGTGAAGTCGCGTTCTCTTCTTGCTGGCCAGCACAGGGTGGGTTCCAAGTCTCCATGTTAAAAAAAAAAAAAAAGCCTTTTTTAGAAACACCACAAATCTTTCAGCTGTCTTGGCTAATCCAGTGTGTGGGGGTTCATGTTCCTTCTCTTTTTATTCTCTTGGTCTTCATTGTTTACAAGGCTTGAGCATGGTGGGCTCTGGATTGCTGTTACTCAGTTTTCCATTTTTGGGCACGGTGTGCTTTCCTGAAGATTTTCATACTAAAATGGTTTTCCCAAAGTATATTCTTACACCAAGTTTTAATTTCAACAATGAAATCCTTAGCTCTGCAGACAGATTTCTTCCAGCAGACCTTCATGTGCAGAATCCCATGTGGTCACTGAGGTTCTGTGTAGATGTGAAGTCCACGTAAATCATCTACGCTTTCAGGCTATTGACCTACTTCTTGCCAATCATTAATTTTTCCCTTTACAGATAATTGCTTGTCCTGTATTTTGTAGTCTAAAGCTTCCCCTTACTAAAGATAGATATAAGATAAAATCTTCAGAAGTGCCTAAGCCCTGTTGTTATTCAGTGGGGTTTAAGAACAAATTTTTATTTAGGAAATAAAGAAAGTAGTCTTAAAATTCTATATGTGTTGTGTGTAGCAGCATCAAGAAACGACAAGTTTTTAGTTCTTCTACAGACTTGCCCTTCGTGCTTGAAAGACTCTCATGGTCTCCAAAGGTCGTGGCTGAAAGTTCTGGAAAATGGATTTCTTTCTTGTGATCCCAGCAGTCAGATATCTGCGAATGCCTTATCTCGTTTTGTGAGGTATGACTGAAAGTGTGTGGTGCTAGTGTGTAGAAGTTCTGTGTCAAAAATAGGTGCGGTAGAATCCAGTTAAAGGCATTGTGAAATAAGTAGCTTTTACACCAAACCTTAATCGAAAGAGTATTTTACACCAGAATGTAGCTGTTGGGATGCTTGGTCAAGATAATACAAAGCTGCAAGCAGGTTACAATGTTGAACGTTCTCTGTGTAAATATATAAATATTCTCAGCCTAATTTTATCAGACTATCACTTGTTGCATGGTTGGGGTTTTGGTTTTTTTTGCCTCATTGATCATCAGTGTCGATTAAAAGATGATGGGTTGAAAGTCATGCTGGGGCAGTACTGAGCCCTTTGAACAAAGAGCAAGGAGAACCTTTGTGCACCAAAAATGGAGTTGACTTTGCGAATGGCCGCAGTGCAGAACGGTGTTGGACCCTGCAGCCAATAAACAGACCTCTTAAATGACCGTGAATTCTGTTAATAGTGTTTTCTCTCTACTGTGCCTGGTGGTGTTTGAGTTTCAACATATTCCTTGCTGGTGGCAAGCGTAAAGGGTGGAATAACGCTCTGTAGTCATTGCCACGTAGACCCTCGTGAGACAAAGCCACCTCTTTACTCTTCGTTCTCATTCCCCTTTGAGCGAAGCCCAACTTCTGACTCTGCCTGGTGGATCTTTTAATGAGGAACCTCTTCCCCCTGACACAACGTCAAGTTGTTGGAAGGTGAAAGTCAATGTATGCCTGAATTTGTTTAAAAAGGCTGGTTTTAACTTTAGATGCTAGCAGTAAAAAAAAAACAACCACCAAAACCAGGCTCAAAACAGCCCTTCTAAAGTGATCTTTGTCTGTTTTGTTTTCAGCTTAATTATGTAGTCAAAAAACAACAATCAAAACCAGGCTTAAAACAGCCCTTCTAAAGTGATCTTTGTCTGTTTTGTTTTCAGCTTAATTATGTAGTCATTAACATTTAAGTTTGTGCAGTGTATAACATTGAGAGGCTGATGGCTGTAACGCTTTCTTCCTGAGAAATTCAGGAAAAACTTCAATATTGGGTTTGTGCGATGTTGTAAAAATGAGATTGCCCTTTAGCTCGTAACTGCTTATACTGCCTTCCATTGCGCGCACCGATACCGAATTGGTTTTGGTTTAAAGACCTGCAAAGCACTGCGTCCTCCCTCTCCACCTGATTTTTGTGACTAACATTCACAGTAGGCTTCTTCAGGGGGATTTTTCTGTCTCAATTAATTTAAACGAAAACACTCATCACACAACTGTTACCAGCTGTGGAGAGGTGACTTGCTGATGATTCCATTTCAAAGAATCCCAGACCAGGACTGTTTTATGAACCCGTGTGTGGTGTAACAACATCTCTGCTAAGCCACGCGTGATAGCTTGGAGACGTGTGGAATGTTAGGCAAAACCAAAAAACAGAGCTTAGGAAGGAGAACAGGATGTTTTAGTTCTTTATATGGGTATTTGAGCAGCTTGTTGGCAGCGTTGTTCTGTGCGTGCACAGGCAACTGGACAGGAAACTTGACTGGTTGGGAAATACTGAAATATGGCTTAGAAACAAACAGCATGATTTTCCTTGAATGCTTTAAATTGAAGGCTTTTGAAAACAGCCATAGTGGAGAAAGCGTTATTTAAAGCAGAACTAAAGGCAAAGAGCAGCAGAAGTTTACAAAACATGGTCATAAAACTCACCTGCTTCGTGTTTCAACATGGTTTAGTGACAGGAGAAGGTGTGCTGGTTTTGGTTTTTAATCCAAATGGGACAGAAGACTGCCACGTATATATTTGAAAAGCTTTCACAACTTTAATGAATTAATTTCATAAATATGCTAAAAGAAAAATACTGTTTTAATGGTGAGGCACTATATCTTGTTCAATAGAGTCTATGCTTTGGGGAGCCAAGGTCCTTTTGTCCTGGAGTGTTTTGTCTTGCCTGTCCTCATCTGGAGAGATGCTCCTAAGAAATACCATAGTATTGCTTTGCACCCAAGTTTATCACTAAGGTCTGATTTTAGGAAATAAAATCACACTTTGGAGATGGAAGGAAAAAATATGCATCTTTGCTAACAAATAGGCACGTGTCTACTGCTGTCAGAAATGTTGTTCCTGAAACTTGTAATTAAAAGTTTGCAGAAAGCAAAGGAGTAAAGTGCAGGAACACTGTGGGTCCAATTTTCCATTAATGGTGTAGATGAGAATCTGGGAGTAGCAGATGCTACTCAGTAAAGAAAACATACCTAATATTTTCCTTGATGTATTTCGATAATTCAAGTTCTGTCCCCAGCTTGGTTCCTCACAGGGGTAGGATGGAATCTAGTGATCTCATCGTGGGGGGAAAAAAAAGTCATTTATGATTGGTTAAGACAGAAAACTCTTCCCCAAGTCAAGCTAGTTGGCTTTGCCTGGTAGGATTAATGTTGATTGAGATAGTGGTGTGAAAACCAAGGTAGATGATCCATTTTCTTGTTCAGCCAAGACAGGAGCGTTCACGTGCACAAATTGGATTTGCTTATGTGTGAGGAGCGTGGGCTGCTTCCTTCAACCTCTGCAGTGGAAGTGCAGTAAAAATTGGCCAGCCATATAGCTGTCATTGGACCTGCAGGCCATGTGTACCCTATGGCACCTACACAAAAAGAATGATTTTTTTTTTTTTTTGGCAAAACATCCTTATTGGAGTATAGGATCGATGTAAGCAGGGGGAGAGGAGGCATCCTGTTCAACAAAGCAGACTGGGGTGGCTGCTGCCTTTGGAGATGTGAGCTGAAGATGCTGAACTTCAGGCAGTAACAAAGGTGGGAATAATAAGTGTGCAGGGAGTTAACTGGCGTGGTTCTGAGTTCGTTTCAAAGAAATTGGTTAAAGGAAGGTGGGGATGAAGAGTTGTAAAAACTCTATTGAAACGAATGGAGCTGGCTGATAATTCTCAAAAAGACCGAGTCACCCTGCACAGATCAGTGGAGACCACCTATGTTTAAAAAAAAGCTTTGTCTCGAAGTGTTAGTTCCAGCTGCTTCAATGTTTCCCCTGTTCTCTGTTTATGCCAACGTTCAGTTGATTCTGGTGACTCATAACTTAGTATTTCACAATATGTGATTGCTCAACCCGTGCTCTTCTGCCTCCCATCTCCCCACAGTGTACAAGGGTGTTTATGGTTCTGCTTTTCCTGCTGGAGCAATATTGCTGGGGAGATCCAGGAAAAGCAGCTGACTAGACTACAGACTCTTCAAAGTCTTATATTCAACCTTTCATTCAGATGCAACCACCATGTTCATCTCAACCCTGTCTCACTTAGAGAATGCCTTAAGCCTGCACCCAGTCTAGAGGTGTTCCTTTGCTCTTGAAGGACAGGAAGGTTGGCAGAACCCACTCTTCCGTCCCTGCTCATCGCTGCGAGTGTCAGACCAGCTTTTGCTTTGAAAATGAGAGTGATCGATGTAGCCTCAAGGAGCAAGAAGAGCTCCTTGTGAAGTTTCCTTCTCAACAAGAATTTTGAATTATGTGCTTTCCTGGTAAGTATCTCCATGGTTCACCTGCCCAGCACATAAGGAGAAGGTCAGCATGGACAGTTGTCCGCAGTAGTCATTTCTGACTTCATTGTAAAGGTAAGGAAACACTTACTTCAAGCAATTAAATTTGGTATACGATCTACTGTTTTCTCTTCAGTGTTGGGAATTTGCTTTTTGCAATGGAGAAACCACCTGCAAGTTTTGCTGGGAATTGCAATCCACAGAATTACACTTGGCGGGTGAGAAGAATGCCCCGACGGGCCACCAGTTCAGCTGGGGCTCCAAAACTAGCATTGGCCATGAATTAGTCAAAAATTTCTGTCCTACTGCGTTATGTCACCTCTGATAGAAGACAGCATAGAATCATCTAGGTTGGAAGAGACCCTTGGGATCATCGAGTCCAACCATCTCCCCTACTCTACAAAGTCCTCCCCTACACCATGTCCCTCAGTACCGCATCTAAACGGCCCTTAAACACAGCCAGGGATGGTGACTCCACCCCCTCCCTGGGCAGCCTGTTCCAATGCCCGACCACTCTTTCGGTGAAAAATTCTTTCCTAATGTTCAATCTAAACCTACCCTGTTGGAGCTTGAAGCCGTTCCCTCTCATTCTGTCACTAATTACCTGTGAGAAGAGACCAGCCCCAACCTCTCTACAGTGTCCTTTCAAGTAGTTGTAGAGGGTGATGAGGTCTCCCCTCAGCCTCCTCTTCTTCTTCAGAGACTTCACTCGGAGATACATTCCATTCAGATCTTTGAAGCCTCTGCAGACTTCCAGAGATGGGCCGTTTCTGCATGGTTATGATGTTCCTCATACACACTGAACTGACGATTATGAATATTTATTTTTATTCTAATACTTACTCAGGATGCTCAGAGGCAAATAAGAATTTCTAAATAAGTATGCCGCCTTAAAAAAAAAAAAAAAAGCCATACGCCACCCCAGCAGAAACTTGGGTAAGTATATCCATGACTACTTTGAACAATTAATATTTTTTTTTCTAGAATCTTGTGCATCCTTTGGTTCTTGTGTGTCTCTCCTCCTGTACTTCACGCAGGCCAGTGGGTCACGGGCGCTGACGCGGTCACGTACTGTGCCGTGGCGCAGAGGTTTGTCATCTGGTCGTCGTCTGCTCAATATCCAAAGTAGTTTGTTGCCCTTCTCCACCTCAACTTGAGTTGTCTGTCAGTTCTACACCCTTTCTGTGCAGCAAGTGTTTAACTGCAGTATTTAATAACACTCTGGGGCTGAACTCAGTCACAGCTTCGAAGGTCCCCTTGTCCGTTACTCAAAATTACTTGGTTGGCTCTTGCTCTTCATTTAGTGACATGGGGTTTTTGTAGCACTTAGGTTGATGGTTGGACTCGTCCGGACGGTTGTGTTACTCAAAATTACTTGGCTGGCTCTTGCTCTTCATTTAGTGGCATGGTTTAGTGATGGGGTTTTTTTGTAGCACTTAGGTTGATGGTTGGACTAGATGATCTTCAAGGTCCCTTCCAACCTAGACAATTCTATGATTCTATAATTTTGGTTCCAGTTTTGTCTTGAAAAGAAGATTGATGGCAGCAGGTAACCTGTCTCTTCCACGCGTTGTTTGGGTCATGGTTGAAGTTAACTTGTCACCTTCACTATTTTTCTAGCCGATGAGGTGTCCATAGCCTTTAGCTTATACTCGATGTCCGTTTCAGGTGGATCAGTTCTGACTCCTGTATGACTGCTCAGCTGCGAGGGGCGTTTTCCTGCTGGGTTGAATGGGAAGGGTTTTGATGAACGCAGACTATTCTTGGAGCGTCGCGTTTCCTTTGTCTGGATGTTCAGGACGTGTTCCCTTCTGCGCTGTTACTTTTGCCCCTTCCTGTTGTGCGAGTGGTAGAATCTTTAGTGATTAGAAAAGCATTAGACATCCTGGGCTGCCCCAGCCTGAGATGAGTGTTAAGCTTGAGAACTGTTACTTTGCTTTCTTCTCTTCGTGGCTGCTGAGAGTGGAAGAGATTCTGTGAGCAGAGCTGGCTGCATTTTTAAGGAAGTGAGTGATGTCCAAAATGTGGCATTATGCCAACATCCCAAGAGTCTGAAGATGGTTTTAGGGGTTTTCTCTGTTTGGAGCTTTTTTTTTTAAATTAATTTTTTAAAAAAAAAAGTACTGGGTGATTTAAGTAGAAACATAGTTCTCTGTTGATTGCAGTTCTAAGGATGAAGCTGCAACAGAGGCTCTTGGTTTTTCCCCAATCATTGCAATTATGGGGGTGATGATGTCAAGATAATCTTTGTTGACCAACAGCTGTATCCTCATGCAAGAAGTAGCTCCCATCTGCGGGCAGAACTTGGATGGATCCAGAACTATAAAGGGAATTAAGGGGGACTAAACAGCATCATAGTGGCTAACAGCACAAAGGACAGTCGGATCTCAGGTGCTCTCGTGGTCTCAGCAGTTCCTGGTGCATTGGAAAGAAGATCTATGGTTTTCAGAACAAATCCATCTTGATTTTATTTTATTTTTTTTTAACTATTATTATAGTGCTGGAGCGGGTGCAGAGGAGGGCAATGAAACTAGTGAAGGGCCTGGAAGACAAATCGTATGAAGAGCGGCTGAAGGAGCTGGGGCTGTTCAGTATGAGGAAGAGGAGGCTGAGGGGAGACCTCATCACTCCCTACAACTACGTGAAAGGACACTGTAGAGAGGTTGGGGCTGGTCTCTTCTCACAGGTAATTAACAATAGAACGAGAGGGAACGGCTTCAAGCTCCAACAGGGGAGGTTTAGATTGAACATTAGGAAGGAATTTTTCACCAAAAGAGTGGTCGGGCATTGGAACAGGCTGCCCAGGGAGGGGGTGGAGTCACCATCCCTGGATGTGTTTAAGGGACGTTTAGATGCGGTACTGAGGGACATGGTGTAGGGGAGGACTTTGTAGAGTAGGGGAGATGGTTGGACTTGATGATCCCAAGGGTCTCTTCCAACCTCAATGATTCTATGATTCTATTTTTCCCATTTGCCAAACTGTCACAAACTGATGAAGAGAACGATCCCTTTGTGGGGTGGCTTTAGGATTGCTGGGCTGCCTTTAGGCAGATCTTAAAAATATGTTCTACGTTATGCCATCAGGCAAACACGGGCTACTTTTGCTCTTAAATCTTTTAATCTGCCGAGCGGAGGGATTCTTAGAGGTCGATCTCTACAGCCATTCTCTTGAGCAGGCGAGAACTAGTTTTTCTCTAATCAAAGGCAGCCCCGGCTCCTCCCTGGGAGCCGACTGAGCTCCCTGACCTTGCGAGGGGAAAGGGGTTTTGCTGAACTGGCTCTTGGTGATGTGATGGGTCCCAAAACCAGCCTGAGGAAGGGGCACGGGAGAACATGGCTGCTTTTAGCAGGTGGTGAGAGCTGGGGGCAGGATTTCCCAGGGAGGAGGTCACCTGCCAGCACCTGGTTGTAAAATCCCAGAATCCCAGAATCTTCTAGGTTGGAAGGGACCTTAAAGATCATCTTGTCCAACCGTCAACCTCACTGACAAAAATAGACACCCACACAACAAACAAGGAGCATCATCACTAAACCAGACCTCCCAGCACTACATCAACCCGTCTTTTGAACACCTCCAGGGATGGTGCCTCAACCACCTCCCTGGGCAGCCCATGCCAATGCCTGAGAACCCTTTCAGGGAAAAAAATTTTCCTAATATCCAGCCTGAACCTCCCCTGGTGCAATTTGAGGCCATTTCCTCTTGTCCTGTCACCTGTGACTTGAGAAAAGAGACCGACCCCCACCTCTCTACAGCCTCCTTTCAGGGAGTTGTAGAGAGCAATAAGGTCTCCCCTCAGCCTCCTCTTCTCCAGGCTGAACAGCCCCAGCTCCCTCAGCCTCTCCTCATAAGACTTATTCTCCAGACCCCTCATCATCTTTGTCGCCCTTCTCTGGACCCGCTCCAGCATCTCAATGTCTTTTTTATGGTAGGGGGCCCAAAACTGGACACAGTACTCCAGTTTTGGGAGTGTCATTAATGTATGTTATTAACACAGTGAATTTCACACAAAGTGAAAGGGATACGCACAAGACACTTATCTCCCATTCATTTATTCACATTTTCCATGGATTTTTGTACACTTCCTCAATGTATTAGAACTAATGAAAACATTGGTACACGACAAGTTCTGCAAAACTTAAGTATCCACTGAAAAATTCAGAGCAGTTTGAAATCTATTAACAAGTAACAAATGGTCACATTCAGCGTTTTCATTGGATGGAGACTAGCTCATGCCACTTTAAAATTGTTTCATGTCAGGTCATTTCTGCACACAGGCACCAGCTACAAAATTTTAGCAAATGCAAATAAGTTAAGGCATCGGAAAGAAAGTCTTTAAGGACATTTGAAATGTAACAGTGCGGCAAAGGGAGCTGAACTCAAGTTCTCAACAGCAGAGCCTACCTCCTCATTGCTTCATCTTCTACGACGTGCTCATTTGAACTGTAAATTTGAATTTTCACATCAACCAAAAGAGAGATGAACACGCTGTTGTGCTCCCCAATAGATAACTTTAAGTACATTACAATGAAAAAAACAAACCACCAAACCCCTGCATATAGCAATTTAATACTTTAAAATAAGATTCGAACCAACTGTAATAATCTCCCTTACAGACAATTCTGATCATTGAAAGAAGCAGAGATCTTGATTTTTCTATTTTGGGGAGGTGAGAGGGGAAAAGATTTCTAAGCAGCAGAAACTTCAAAATTAGAGGAGGAGGAAGAAGAAGAATGCACGATCCATGAGACGTTCCGATACCGATGTACAGCTGGAACAGGGAAGGCATTACCTCCAATTAGGGAGGAAGCTTGTATCTTTAACATCAGGTGTCTGATATCCAGCTGTTAAATATGTTAAGTATCTACCAGGATCCAGGAATGCCTCATGGAGCTGGAATTCTGATCCAAATTCCTTCCTTGTGTAGCATGTGCCACTTTGTTACGAAGGCATTAGTATATGGATTTCTATGCTCTCCACTAACTTCTGCTTTTAATTCATTTTAGGCCTTTGTTCCTATGTAAAAATCTCCGGCTCTTTACAGTATTTGTGTACTTTAATATTTCTTAACTAGAAACATTTATTTAATGGTAGTGGAGAAGGGTTGTGCTTCGTAACTGAACCCAAGTGAGAAGCGTGTGACTGCTTTATCCTGCCCCACACTCCAGCTCACTGCAGGGCCCCTACGGACGATGCAGATTAAAATTTTGGAATTTTCAGTAAAATTCCTCCCTATTCAGTCTGGCAGCTTTAGGACCAGGCCAAATACCCGCACGCAAATCCCCAGGGCTGCCTGGCTTGGGAGGCAGATCCTAAGGACAATAGAGGAAGTTTGGTTTCTCTCTTGTTGAAGTGAGTTGGTCCACATTTGGAGGGATACAGAGTGAGTTACGTATCCGTGAGCTTTTCAGAAGTAAACAAACCCAAAACCAAGACCCCCCCCACCCCCTGACACGACCTGTACAGAGTTGCTCTTGAAAGCAGGAGATGTGTTTAAGACACTGCAGTCAAACGACAAACGCAAAATTAACGGAGCCCTTGGACGTTTCACCTGAGCCTGTAACGAACTTTCAGGCAACGTTCTGCTTTCCATTCACACACCAGGAACATGCAAACCTTCAGGTTTTGGCCTCACGTTTTAAGTATCAACAAGATTTTTTTTCAATTTTTTTTTTTTTTTTAAAAAAAAAGCACACTATTTTGAGGAAAGTGAATTTCAATGGTTAAGTACTGAGCCAGATGCAAAATAAATAAAAAAAAAAAAGGCACCAGTTTATACTTCAAATAATAATTGAAATCTTATCTAGGCTTCCTTTACACTTGTATGTTAAAAATGCAATTTTTGTGAGTTCAGTGTAGCTGAGAAGTGGGCACAGGCCTTTGTTTTTGAACTTTGGTCAAGAAGGCTAAAGATCCTATAGTTTTTCCTCCTTTTTATTAAGGTGGGGAGAGGCCATAACCTGAATTGTGCAGCAAATGAGGACTAAAGGCAGCTGTTTGTTCCCCCCCGGAGAGCAGGTAAGATGTGCTGCATCTAATGAAATGGAGCTGCTGCTTTTTCCCCAGCCATAGGATGCCACTGGTTTGGATTTCCAGTTCCCCTCTGAGAATTGCATCACACTGTTTTGTAAAGATTGGTATTTTTTCCTCTGTGCCACCTTAGCCAGAGCCAGGTTGGCATCTTTTCTTCCATCTCCCCAGACCTGGTCAGCGTGACAGATCAGAGAGCGGTTCAAGTTTAATATTACCATCCAGCTCTTAAATAGTTTCCAGAGCTGGAGGCAAAACGTGAAAACTATTCTTAGGGAAGGAGTTTCCAGCAGGCAAGATTTGAAAAAGAAAAGGATTAAATAACCAAACAAGGTCTGATAAAGTTGAGATGGAAACTGAGAACAGAACGATGTTCTGAACCACAAATTATTGCCACGTGGTTAATTTTAACACAGCTGAAAACTGAGTTATAGATTAACCCAGTGCTCCCTCCTTTTGCAACAGAAAGCTTCTCCTCAAGCTGCAAACTGCTGCTTTACTTAATGGAGTGAAGCACTGTAGTTTTAGGAAATGGGAAAAGTAATTATTGACACACATTTATGCATGTATTCTTAGTAACAGCCAGAGGCAATATAAATATCTATAAAAATCCTGAAATTTGTCTGCGAAAAGATCTATCTTCAGAAAAGTATGAGTAGCAAGACAAGTGCAACATTTACAACTCTGCCTCTGCTGGGTTTCAGTCTCAGCCCAAGGGACTGGGGAAGAACACGTCAGAGGGAGCGGAATGGAAGTGCCACCCTTTGCCTCTGACTTGCCACAGATCTGGTCCAAGATCAACAGTCTTCCAGTTGTCTGCTTGTACTATTGCACATCCTTAGCTTGTTGCTACAGTTAAGAACAGAACTGATGGTTCTTTAAGAAATGCTACTGTCAACAAAACTACGCAAACAAGTTCTCTTTTCGGTATCTGGAGATGCAGTCTCTGAGTCCCCACAGCACAGGAGCCAGCAGGAGTTACACACAGTACAACATACAATAGCATTGTCGTCGGGGTAAATTGTTGTCATCCACAGCTTGAAAAATTAGTCTCACCAGAACATGACAGACCAATTAAAATTAAAAATCTAGAGTCTAGAAACAGTTTTGCCCCCTCCCTTCTCAGAACGGGAGGCTGTTGCATCGCAGCGCAGTCTGTGAGGAAGCTCTGGTACCATATTTTTGTACTTGGATTTCAGTCCGTTCAGTCAAAGTGACTGGTGTTAAGAACACCCTTTAATTGAAACCAATGTGCTTTCTCCAGAAGAGTTCCTGCATTTAGGTATTGAAAAATGAGGGAGCACAGTCCAACACTTGTGTTCTATTAAAACTTTTATTAGCTAGTTTAGCTTTTCCTCACAGAATTTTTCCAGAATTCCCATAACAGTTCCTAATCTCAGAGTAAAGAGTTAAGTGTTCAAGTGAAGTTATGGAAGAAAAAAAAAATGGAGCAGCAGCAGTTTGGCAATAATTCCTCAAATCACTGACTGCAACTTATTTAAGCCTCCTTTTTCTCCAGTAAGATTTTGTGCAACTCATCTGCATCCTCACTTGTTTTCACCCTTATTAACATAGTGACAGGAACAGCTGGATTCTTCTCATCAATCGGGGGATTAGGAACACAAACTATAAGAACATTGTTTTTTCCGGTTCTTGTACACGGCATCTTGTGTGGAATGAGAACATTCAGCAGTATGTTTCCTGCACACGAGGAGGAAAAAAAATTACAATTAGCAATTTTTCAGCTTTTTGCTGCAATACAGATGTTAGTATACTTACTAAACAGGGATCTAAGTTTGTGTTTGGAAGGAAGGCAATTCGCAAATATCGTTATCTACTGGTCTCGTTATTCCCTAAGCGTCTGCTCGTGGCCACTGCCCTCACAGGTTTCTTTCCTCATTAGGAATGAGGAAATCTCTGAAAATACTACATCCTCCTCCTTAAAAGGAAGGAGTCTGAAGAATGTCAAACGATAGTGGGGACACACAGGAAAAAGGAGAAGGGGAGAAGCAGCAAATGAGGAACCCAGTCACGGCGCTTAGTTTATGCTGATGCGAGTTACTCGTTCTGACCATCAAGCACAGTCCATAAGTAGAAGCAAAATATTAGCTTTAACACACATACAGTCACGTTAATCTAAAATGGGACAAACTGCAGTAAAAATAAGTATTTTGTATCCTCTGATGTGGTCTACCACCGGGTTACTAACAGCTCTACGTCAACGTGTTAAATGAGATGGTGAGTTTGGGAGCTCGGGTATTAGTTGGCTATTAAAACAAATTTGTTGCAAACAAACTCCAATCTGCTTCCACAGAAGATGCACACATTTTGTAAACCTGGGAAATAGTTCAGAACACGGTAGTAGTATTTAGGGAAAAGTCAAGTCTTCGCCTTCCTTTCCAGGTCAGTTTTTCAACACAGTGAGATTTTTAGGAAAGGATTACAGCACTGTGTGAAGATAGCAAAAAAGGAAAGGGTTGCATCACTACGACTGCAGCAGCTTCTAGAAACCAGAGCCTGGAAATACCAAGCTGAAACATCTTAGTATAGGAGCTGAAGAAAAAGGAAAGATTTCCTAATTACATCACCTCAGATGAAGGTAGAGGGAAAGTAAATCAACATCAGGAAAATAAGCATCAGCTGAGTGAAAATCAAGACTTGTGTTAAAGGGCAGAAAACCTTCATTTCTGTGAGTTACATTTCCTCTATTCAACACATTTAAATGCCCAAGGAAAAGCTGAAAGCACTGACAATGCTGCTGTACATCTGCCTTTGGTCTTACTGCTGAGCACTGCCCTTTATCTGGCAAACCTTGGCTTTGCTAAAAGTAGGATTTAGAAGTGACTGACACAGGAGTCCCAGTCCCACCAGGTATGTGAAAACTGCCCCTAACAGGCCTGCAGAGACTCCACATCGACCTGCTGGAGTGTGTTAGAAACTCAAAGTGAGGTGAGATTTACAGTCCAGCGTGGCTTTAGTCCCCTGTGAGCATAGTATTTCATCTATTTTATGGAAGTTGTCAAGTGCATGTGAACCCCACATGCACATTTATTGAAATGAGGTACTGGAGCGTAGCAACGTTTCTCAAGAATGAATATCAAGGTGTTTATTTGCACAGTTTGAGTGCATAAACACTCTTCAACCAGAATATTGCACTTTAATATAGCAAGTCTCTCTAACTTCTAAAAGCAAAGAAACAGTTGGGTTTCTTTTCCTCTTTAATTAGCTGCATGTGATATCATTCCTCTCAAAAGACACTGTGAGGAACTGTCACACTACAGGTGACTAATTCTGTAAAGTCAACCTACCCCTGCTGAACTGAAGTTAGCTAAAGCACAGGGCAATAGTTGGACTTCAGTATGCATTTTAGGAGCAAAATCCTGCATGCCTCATCTGTATAATGCTTCTCTTTACTCCTAAGAACAACAGGTGCCTGCCCACAGGGCTATTTATGCATTCAGGGTAACAGCTGTCCTGCATCTTAGCTCCAAATTTGTTCCTCCTCATTCATCACACCTAATAAGTGTGTATTTCATTGTCAATCTTAAGCCACCCTTCAAAGCTACTCAACGAGTCAGGGATGGAGAAAAGCTGTAAAGGCAGTGGGAGGGGAATACCCAAAACATAAAAACCCAAAACCGTAGCCTTTTACTTCCTTGCACTGCTTTCACATGCACTATTTCATAATACTCATTAAAAGGCATCCACTTGCTTGTTCAATACTTGAAATTATTCCAAAAAAAGGCAGAAAGGCTTTCACTAATCTTGTCTATTATCCTGTGTAACAAAAAAAACCCCAAATGCTTAGCAGGAAATTTCATATCAAGACTTGCTACTAGAAAAATTTTACTTACCTAAATTGGTATCTGCTCGTACTAGGAGTTGAGTTTTTTCATTGCCTGCTGGTTTCAAGTGTAATGTTCCTACACCTTTTTCTTTAAATTCATTATCCTTTTTGTAGAATAGTTTGCACCTGTGCAAATAAAAAAACAACTTGTTTGTGCAGATGTGCAAAGATTAAATACAAAGGTATCTTCCAAATAGACACACCTATACATGTATACTCACAGTAAGCCAATAGTTTAACAAGTCAGGAGTTAACATGCTGTGAGTAGCATAAATCTTTTATTCTTCTTGACCTTGTTTCATGTGCTAACAGACAGTACTTCCAGTTCAGGAAGAGAAAGTTAATTATTTCTTTCAGCATTGAAATGTTGGTGAGAAACTCAACATCAGGCAGCAATGCACACTGGCAGCCCAGAAGGGCAACTGCTGGGGAGGGACTCTGTATCAGGGAGTGTAGCCATAGGACAAGGGGTAATGATATTAAACCAAAAGACGGGAGATTTAGATTAGATCTCAGGAAGAAATTCTTTGCTGTGAGGGTGGTGAGACACTGGCACAGGTTGCCCAGAGAAGCTGTGGCTGCCCCATCCCTGGAGGGGTTCAAGGCCAGGCTGGATGGGGCTTTGAGCAACCTGCTCTGGTGGGAGGTGTCCCTGCCCAGGGCAGGGGGTTGGAACTCAATGATCTTCAAGGTCCTTTCCAACCCAAACCATTCTATGAGTCTATGATGAAATTATAAACGTTACTTTAAGGGAAAAGTAAAATGCATACATAGCAACCTGTACTCAGGGTCTATAAGGAGTAATAACTGTAAGCGACTGTTTAAAAACACTAATTACAGAACATAAGAACTTGCTGTATCATCTGACACACATAGAACTTAAAAACATTTTCTAAGTGAAGCTCCAATAACCCTAATGCCATTCTTCGTAAATTAGCACGTACTTTCTCTCTGATAAAGCAAATGACATTGTGTAGGACAAGTTCTGTGCTGAGTGTTAAGCAGACACGTAATTACTTGGGACTACTGAACGTGCCTTGAAAACCTGCTTCTAGTAAAGGCAGTCCTATCTTGATCTTAAAAGTACAACTTGTTCAGTCCTTCACCCAACAATCAGCATTTTCCAACTGAGGAGTCTTTCTTTAGGCTACGTGAATAGCTGAGCACCTGACTGATTTTTCTGAAATACAGGATGTTATTTCTGTGGTACAAACCCTACAATTTAAACTTACAAAAGCTGATGAAGGCAGAAACATCTTCCTAATTTGTAATAAATTGATCATAAGTAGAATATAAACTAGATTATTTGTGCTGTGTCCAAGAGACACAAGAATTTTAGTAAGACCTTACACATTTTTGGCTATAATTAACTTTTTTACAAGCAGAATTTCATATTCTATTTAGCTTCCTAACAAGCTTTATTAACTAGCAAGTCAAGAATATATGCATTGTTAATTAAGCACTGCAGTGGTGAAGAACAACAATATGCAGGTACAAATTTTATTCTCAAAATTGTAATTCTATTCACTATTCCGAGTTAAAGCCACTTACTTCTTTGAGTAGAAAGCATCATCCTCTTTAATTTCATTAACAATGACTTTTGGTGGCTCTTCTTCCTCTTCTTCTCCTCCTTTAAATAAAAAGTTTTAATACATTCCATAGGTTAATATTGTGATTTGGCATTGCATTAGAACTGGCTTATGCATTCTGTATTTGACACATGCACGTGTAGCCTGTCAATGACTGCCAAAATATGTTTAAATCCATGTGGGCTCAAAGGCAGCTACAGAAAAGTGTCTTTATTTTCTCTTCATTCAGCCACACCCCTCAAGCAACTTTATGTTTATCTCCAAGATTAAATGGGATGAAAATACCCAACCCACACTAAAAGCCCAAAAATGCAAAGCCTAACAAGTCAAACTTAAGTCAAAACCTTCTGTCAGGGGAGAAACAGTTAAAACATTTCCAAGAATAATCTCCACAAATGGGTCCAAGTAAAACATAATAAATACTTCCAACAGCCAAGTTTAATTTGAGGGAAGGGTAATCAGCTGCAGGAATGACAGACAAGAGGCACTGGCAGGATTATGCCTTTCCAGTCCCTCAACTTCCAGGATTTCTCTCAGTTTCCAGTACCCAGGTTAGCTAAACAGCAGAGTAAAACCGCTGGGTAGAACGCAACTATTTGCCTTAGGGTCTTGTAAGAAAGATTAATAAAATTGTTCTGTATTTTACACATTTTACTATGGGATCTCTCGATAAACCTATCGGGAAAAGCAGCAGGACCAAAACATCCTGCAGGCTCCAAGACGAACATTCCAGTTTATTTAAATTTCATCATTTTAAGTCTTGTATTCAGCTAAAAAATTATACTCTTATAGGAAGTATAAATCTTATAAAAATACACAGGGTTTGGGAACCATATACATTTAGTGTTAAGCAGCACGCAAGACTGAGATATTTCCAGATTAGTGGTACAGTTTTGCAGCTTTTACATTCAAGGGCAATTATGGTCTAGTTCAATTTAGTATTATTTCATCTTTGCAGTATTCTTAAGTCACAGCTTATCATTTAAAATCAGTGTTTTACATAGAATTTACCTTTATCATCACTATTGCCACTTTCTGTCTGAGCTTCCGATACAGTGGTGGATAACGCAGTGACAGACTTGGCCTGGTTTGCATCTTTTCCAAACAAACCTGAATTCCCAGGAGAAAATGAGAAGCTACTAAGTGTTCCTGAACCAAGGGAACCCAAAACAGAACTGTCGACGCTCTTGCCAAAATTAAACGAGACTGTTGATGTAGCTCCTAATGATGCGTCTTTTTTTTCGGATGCAGCTTCAGCTTTTTTGTCCAAGGCATCCTCAGTGGTGGGGGTGGGGGTGGTGTTAAACAAAAAAGATGATCCTTGCTGTAGCTTTGAATTCCCAAAGGTAGAAACAGACTGAGAGCCAGGTGTCTTGTTGCTTTCGTTTTCAGAGCCACTGTCGCTAGTGCCTCCGTGTTGCTGCTCGATATTTGCTAAATACTTCTCGTAGTCTCTAAAGATGGGCGTCAGGTCACACAGAGGGTTTGTGTTTACATGCTTGACTATCCAGTCACGCACAGAACAGTTTAAAGCTGCTAACTGTTTGTGGTAAACACTAGAGCTACAAACTTTACTCTGAGCAAAGCCAGATGAGGATGGTTGATTGCCACCATTAGCTTTAGGGATTGCAGCTTTTTTCTCAGTAAACGCAGTAGTAGTTGATTGCCACCATTAGCTTTAGGGATCGCAGCTTTTTTCTCAGTAAACGCAGTAGTAGTTGGACCATTTGACATGGTGGATCCTGTTATAAGAAAAACATGGTTTAGAACACCTTTTTTTTTTTTCCCCCCAAAAGCCCAGTTCTCAAAAACCTAAACTAAATGTTCCCAGTATTTCTTTATCAAATCACTCATTCTTGCTCAGCTCCGAACCTTGTCTTTTATCAAAAGGCTGTGTACCAGATACCGCGGTACAAGTAAACAGACACTGTTGTGAAACAGACCTTATCTCCGTAGGTTTAGAAAGTGAGTTCAGAGATAGACAAAGTAGATGCGCCACACACGTTGTTTAAAAAGGTCCAAAGAAATCTTACAGAATAAAATTTTTAAAAAATAGGTTTGCATTTCACCCCCCCCCCCATCTTAATTCAAGCTTTACCAAGCTGTAAATTATTAAAACAAATTGCTCTAAAAAAACTCTATCCCATGATTCTGCACCTTTTTGAGTGGCTTCCATATAAAAACCGTAATAAGCAAATTTTACAAATTCTCACTAAATGTTTAAGTTTCTCCTGATTTAGTTAAACACTGAAATCTCAGTTACTCTAAACTTTAAACTCCACCCTTTCTATCCTGTGGCACGCTGACTCTGAAGCTATGGCACGGTTAACATTCCAGCTTCTCCAACACAAAGGGATAGAACTCATATTTTTCAGGGACTACCAAAGCATGAGACTACAGTTAGATTGGCCAAAATGTTTCAAGTGTCTTAAGCTGTTTTACACTATTCAGAGAGTGTCTTATGCCAATGTCTTCCATTCCCATTTGTGCCTACGCGGCTTTTACAGCCACTATTAGATCAAATACAAATTTAGTTTCTACCTCTTAAAACTGAATTAATTTGATAACTTAACCCTCCAGCAGCCTAAAATCTTTTAGAGATATCTTATAAAGGTCTGAAAACCTTAAAACAGAACTACAAGCTTGTCTGAATTTGGTTTTTCACTATTAAAATAACCCTACAGATTTTATGGCTGAATTTGTTGATAAATATGTATACTTATTTAAAACTTACCAAATGCTGATGCCGTTTCAGAGGTGGTCTTTAAGCTGCTGAAAGAAGGAGTGCTAGAGATACTACTGCTTCCATTAGACAGCCCTTCTAAAGGCTTTATCGCTGCGCCGTTACCAAACCCGCTGAAGCCACCTCCTCCTTTTCCAGAAGGCAATATAAAGCCTTTAAATCCTTTAAAGGCTCCTCCACTTTCAGACTGGGGAGAGAGAAAACAGAAAATAGAAAAAAAAAAAAAAAAAAGACAACCAGTTACATACATCTCCTCCACAAAAATCCTATGCCCGCTTAATATTCCATTTATTTTACCCTGGTTCACTGTGCCATTTCATGCCTTATTCTAAGTCAGCTATGTAAACAAAGTTAATAGCTTCCTTATGACACATATTGCTACTATTTTTAAAGGACTCAGATGTTTGGTATGAAAATAAACTAGATCTAGGAAGTGGATACATAAAAGTTGTTCAGAGAAGCGGATGTGTTTGACTACCTATTTAGACATTCATAGCATCGTGTTTTCTTTAAATAATTACACAGCAGTATATAATTGCAGGCTAATTTTCAGCAACTTTTAGCATTTACAGCCACAATTCAACACTTCAAGCCACTCATCAAGACAGCATACTTTGTAGTCACCTATGTAGCGTTTAAATGAGTTACCAAAAATACTCCAATGTGACTGATGGGAGAAGGAAAGATAGACTGTACTTGAGAACATAATACGTATGCTTCCTGCAGCCTTTCCATTACCTAGTTCTGACCTCTATCTTTACAACCAGAATATTTTATAGTGTAATTTCTTACATGTTTTTACAAGAAGAGTGCAATTAATAGGCACTACCACTTTTAGGTATTACACATAATGTCTTTTGAGGTAATGATGACCACTTATTACCGGAAGCGTACTTTCAATGTCTCTGAAAAGCCATCAGAGGAAAAGGAGAATTGCTTCCGAGTTTCATCTGCTTCTGACATTGAAGAAATAGCAAAACTTAGCAATTTTAGATTCCTCTCCAATCTCTGGCCTTGTGGGTATGAGCTCTTTCTGTTTCCCTTTGTGCTTTACCTTTTCCAGTGCAGTCCTGTTCCTCATTTCTAGGTAGCTCTTTTCATTCTGTCTCTCTTTGATTCAGTTCTACCTACCTCTCTCTCTCTGGACATTCAAGTTAAACTGTGGTCTCTTTCTTACAGCATTCTGCTCGCTCTGTTTAGGGACATCAGTAAATTTCAAAGTTTAGCTTTTTGTAACCATTTCACAGGTTTCTTACGCAGCCTCAGCTATCCTACCATTTCTCTTGCTTTTTAGACTTCACCCAGCCTATCCTAGCTCCTCTTCCAGCCTTGATCTCTGACACCTGACTCCCAGCCTCCTGACTATTTCTTCTGCAATCATCTGGTTCCATTTTTCCTGTTCCATTTGTCCCCAGATCTCTCCTGTTCAGTTGTGGCTTAGTTCTTGCATCACCTTTTCCCAACTGGAGAAGTGTAATTTCCTTAATTGCATCCTCTACACATTTGTGGCTAAAACTACTATAGGCAAAAGGGGGATAGGGACAGCTTCCTCATTTACATTGGTTGGACAGCAGAAGGAAAAGCAAAAGCCCAGAAGAAAACTATCTAGCCCCTAATTGTGTCTAGTTCCATTCAATCCAAAATCAATTTGAGTGATAGGTAAAGTTTCTGTCCTATTTCTAACACGGGGTGTGCACTGTTGAAAGAATGTTTCATAGGAAGGTCTATATGACAAAGCACCTGTCAGGGATTTTTGAGAGGACTATAATTTGGTTGGACTGGATTAATGCTTCCACGGGCACTAAACCTGTAACAAAGGCCAACTTCCTTTCCATTTTCAATGTGTTACTGAAAAGAGTAGGTGGCACTAAAGCTCTTCACAGGAGAGGAAAAAAACCAAAAAGTAGCAGCAGCATTCTTAACAAAAGCCATCTTTTTAATTCTCAGAACAGCTTACTATTTTGGCTTTTACCTATTTAGCATTTGCTGAGACAACCCCCCAGCCCTCCAGTACGGACAACTAGTAACTTTTGATTTTGAGGCTTCCATCTCTGCAAAGAATTAAACTGCAGCAATTCAAGTGCCATTTTCCCCATCTGTAGAAGACACCGTGTCTGAAACACTCTGCATTTATACTTCAAAAATACACATCTTCCTTCATCCAGTCAATACTAGTATTAGCCATTTTTTGTTCTTGCCTGATTCTTGCTATGGAACAGTAAACAAATTCATTTGCATGTATGAGTTGGACTAATTGCATATACCTTCTAAACGATAGCTTTATACAATATTATTACAAGTCCAAATAAATAAAAAAATCTGAGCACAGATGTCCTATTTTGCAACTGAGTCAAACTACAAGATTAATGCTTAGTGATTACGATACCTCTGATCCAACATTTCGGCGCTTTGCTTTTTTAATAGCTCTGTTCTTCAGGACCTCTTCACTAGCTACTGAGAAGGTTCCCACCTGTAAGAAAAAGTTACAGAATCGTTACAGAAATTCTCAGAACGCATAAAGTCATCAGAGTCTGAAGAGATAACCCGAGATCAGTTATTGAACACAACTGTAACACCTCCCTAAGTTAAAAATATAAACCAAACCATCACCGACCACCCAGAAAATACAGTCCTGTGATTAGCTTGCCAGCTACTTGGACAATTAGTTGATATTTAAAAACTCTGCCATTCTTGTTCTGCATTACGCTTCCTTTCGGACAATCTCAATTTTATTATGACAAATAATTTGGCTATTTCTTTTATTTATTTTTAAACAAAGAAGTGAGATATCTTTGCTGAAGGGACTCAGTCAGTATTGCACTGTTGCAAACAATCTTCAGTTCAGAGAAGGTATATTGAGATGTACGGTCACAATCAATCTCCTGCAGCCTGCTGTAGTTCAACTATTAGCAAAGGCAGCTAATTACTAATTACTACCCTACAATAAATGAGGAAATTAAGCTTTCTTATATTCAAATTTCTGGAAAAGCACCATCAGTTTCCTTTATTGTACTTTATAAGCCTAAACATGTAATATTTTTGTAGCACAGAAGCTAGCTAGCACAGTTTGCTTACAGGTAATACACAAATATGAGACCCTAAACAAGATAGTCCCTTATTAAGCTTTCTTATATTCAAATTTCTGGAAAAGCACCATCAGTTTCCTTTATTGTACTTTATAAGCCTAAACATGTAATATTTTTGTAGCACAGAAGCTAGCTAGCACAGTTTGCTTAGAGGTAATACACAAATAAATATGAGACCCTAAACAAGATAGTCCCTTTCTACAATCATTTGACTGTTTGCTTGATTCCTCTGGCTGCATGACTCCATTCAGCTAAACACTCCATCTTTCTAAAATTAACTGACTTCAAATAAAGGCCATGAAATGCAAAGAAAATTTACCTAGACTGTGTTAGTTATGTCAGTGAAGCCTAGAGTCAACTATCTCAAGAAATGGTGGTGAGGCACTGGAACAGGTTGCCCAGAGAAGCTGTGGATGCCCCAAACCCTGGAGGGGTTCAAGGCCAAGTTAGATGGGGCTTTGAGCAACCTGGTCTGGTGGGAGGTGTCCCTGCCCAGGGCAGGGGGGTTGGAACTCGATGCTCTTTAAGGTCCCTTCCAACTCTAACCTTTCTATGATTCTACAAAATCAAAAATATTTTCTTGTGAACTCAATGAATACCCATCCCATATCTGAAGAGTCCAAAAGCATTATGCATTTTAACAAGCCTGGGGTTCCCTTTAAAGGTGTAAAGTTCCTTTCCCCTAAGTGGCTGATGTCATTTTAACTGTTAAAAGCTTCTTTGCTATATGGTCTGCCTATATTGGAAGCTTTATATTAAAAAAAAATAAATCACTTATATAAAATTATCTTTAATTGCTACGCTTTTAACCAACTTTACTGTAGATTCCACCCACAAGATAAATCTCACATGTAAGTAACTACCCTACTACCTGCAGGGGTGAGGGGGGAATTTAACATATATTTTACCTCTTCAGCTTCATCCTCCTGGTCCCAGTTTCTGTCAGTCAGTTCCTTCTCTGCAATTCTCTTTGCCATTTTTCCACACCTGTGTGGAAAAACAAAAAAAAAATAAATTGGATAGAATCCATTGCACAGAAATCAAATTCTAAGCAACAGTGCTCTCCAATTTGTATTACTTAGAACAAGGGGAATCAGAGTTCATACAGAAGTAGGTCAAAGGTGGAATGACATTTGAAAACTAAGCCTCTTTAACAACTGTTATTGTAACAACAATCAACAGCACTTGAGATGAAAGTTATGGTAATTAGCCATATTTGATAGTAAATTTAAGCAACCACAGAAACATGCAGGTCAATTATGGGATAAGTTTTCTTTAGCAGCATTGCTGCTAGAGAAATTCCTGTCAGTCCCATAACCCATATATCTGGTCACTGCTTACCCGAAATGGCTGCAAAAAAAGAAAAATATGGGGAAAAAAAATAAATTCTGTTTAAAACATTCCATATTCCACTGGGCTGCAAAAAAAGAAAAATATGGGGGAAAAAAAAAAAAATTCTGTTTAAAACATTCCATATTCCACTCCAACTTGCTTCAGGACACCCATGTAAGCAGCAATAGTCTTGCAAGAGAAAAGTAAGCAGAATATTACTAATTAGAAATCTGAAAAATTCTATTATGAAGAAATGGGATTATTTATTTTTAAGGACACATAAAGCATATCACGGATTTTGGAGCAATCAATATAAGCAGCCAATCACCATTTTGCTCGTTATCTCTGCAACATAAAAAAAAACCAACAACTTTCAAGAAGGAATGTCTATAATAGTTTTCACTTCTGAGTTCCATTTTAATAAAGGCAACTTACCAGCTGTGTTCAAAACTAACAAATTAATCCAGTTATATTATTTTGTAACCAACTTTCAAGAAGGAATGTCTGTAATAGTTTTCACTTCTGAGTTCCATTTTAATAAAGGCAACTTACCAGCTGTGTTCAAAACTAACAAATTAATCCAGTTATATTATTTTGTATCTGAAAGACTTGGCAGGCAATCACAGTACTAAAATGTTACATGAAGAAAAAATAACGATTCTATCAGGTTGCACTAAATATGAAGACTTTTCAAAGAAAAGGTGTAGTTTTATAACAATTTAGGTCTCAAGCGAGAGCAAGAATTAAAACTCTTCAAAAAAACCCTCTTGGGTTTGTGATTCAGACCTGGCCAGTTAAAAAGAATTCCAGAAATAGTTGAATTTCAGGGCCGAAAATTATAATAAATGGTTACAGAACATCTTGTTTAGCTGATGAAATATTTTTAAACAGAACAGCAAATCCAGCTGCACAGCAGTCTTACAGAGATCACACGTCGAAGCCATGAATTTTGGTCTGACACACTTCACAAAAAAGGTCAAGTTATTAGGATCTTTTGGAAGTACAGTGATAAAAAACTGTTTTGTGTAAATGCTTTAACATGGTATAAACCACACCATCCTGAAAGCAGAGGTCCCACCGTGCCCTGCGTGATTCTCAGCAGACTCGGGAACTATTTAAATCTAACGCATTGGAAAAAAATAAAAGTCATACTGGCTCCCCAGTCCAGTTTTCCACAAGGGTATACAAATGCAACCAGAGGAAGACAAGATTGCATCTCTTTGGCAGCAGCCACAGCTGAAAGGCTAGTAAGACCTTGAATTACACCCTTGGATTCCACCGGCAGATCCAATTACCACTCTTAACCCAGCCACTGAAGCATGACAAGCACGACATTAACTAGAAAGCCTGCTCCCCACTAATAAAAGAGGGGTAAACAGTTGGCCTGGGCTCCAGGTTCTTTGCACCTACCTGTGTTTACAAGCTTTCTCTACATTCAATACTGAAAATAGAAGACAACAGAATTTAACATAGGCGAAGACAGGAGGCAAGAGAATCCTGGACACGTTTCCTAACCTGTGAAACAAGAAGCAACACAAAACTACCTCTATCTGATATTCAGAATCTTCAAGAAGTTTTTGTAGCAAATGATCTGAGCGGGTCGAGATAGGAGTTATTTCAAGAAACGGCTCTTTTTGAACCACAATACAGATAGATGTTTCGTCGAACTACCGAAATCCACCTAGTTAACTTCAGCTGCCCCATTTAACGCTGCATTTTGAGGACGAGAACTCTTAATTTAAGCCTTACATTCCACCGGCTGGCCTATCTATCGTCAGAAGGCTATAAAACTCGCCCCGCTGGGGCGCAGGAGCCGCCGGTACCTCCTCTCCCCCGGCGGGAGGAAGCCGGGCCGGCACACACGTTTCTCCTCCTTCCCTCAGCACCGCTTCCTCCCGGGCCTCGGCCCTTTCGCTTCAACGCGGCCGAGTCCCGCTCGCCTCCTTCCCACCGAAGGCCGCACTCCCCCCTCTAACACCCCCAAATTCCTCCCTCCCTCCCTCCACACGGGGTGGCTCCGCTTTTTTACAACAACGGGGTGCGTTTTTTTCTGACCCTCGTACCCTCCGGCCGGGCCAGGCCGCTCGCCAAAACGCCGCCACCCCCCCACACACACCAAGCACTGTCCCGTTCCCCCCGGGGTAGGGGGGGTAAGAGCCAGCACTTACCCCCACGGGGAATCCCCTCTCGATCGCGGGGCGGGAGGGCGGGTGGTTCTCCCCCGCGGCGCCGGGCTGCGGGGCTGCGGCGAGCAGGAGGCGGGGTCTGGTGGCAGGCTGCCCGGGCCCGGAGCCCCTTCACCATCCCCCCAGGCTGGATCCTCTACCTTCGCGGCTGACCGGCGTGCCTTAACCCGCCGTCAGGGCCGCCGCCATTTTGTCCCTCCTGAGAGACGGGGAAGAAACCGCTTCAAAAGAAGAGAGAGAGAGAGAAGTGCCAGCCGCGGCCGCCGTCGCCGTCGTCCCCGACGCCCTTCACCCTGAGGCGGGGGGAGCTGGCACGGCTGGGCCTGCGCCGCTTAGGCCGCCCAAACCGGTGGCGAGAGGGGTTGCCCGAACGCCGGTTGGCGGAGAGGGGAGGCGCATCCGGCCGCTGAGTCACGGGGCAGGGCCCGGGCGGCGGCGGGGGAAGCGGGGCTTTGCCAGGCCCTGCGCCTCGCTGCCCTGTGAGGCCTTGGCTCGGCTGCGGCCTCCTCTGCCAGGGATTAGTGCTAGTGTGAAGCGACTGTAAAGAAGGTAACGGCCTCTGCTCTGGTTCCAGGTTGAAAACAGTGACACCCAAGCGGTTTTTGGTTTTCTTTTTGCGTCGTTTACTACCTTAGAACGCTAAAAGTGAAGGCAGTTGGAGTAAACCTAAAAGCTGTAGTTCTCATGGCCTGTTGTAGGTGCTGCTTTACAACTAAGACTTAGGGTGGTAAACTTGCAGGCTGAATAACCTTGACCTAAAATTAAAAAAAAAAAAAAGGTAAAAAATTACTTCTATAAAGAACTTGTTCTCCTAAAGCACATAAGTTCATTAAATGGAGTGGGAAAGCCCTCTAGCATTAGGTAAGAGGCACTGATATTTTATCACACCTGGCACCCTAACACTCCTGCAACATAGACCTACTCCCCAGCTGTTCTACCTAGTTTTAACCTTCCAACAACGTACTTTCACCATGTGGTTTTTTTTCTTTATAAAATGTTACAAATATTTTGAACCACCTTAATTGGGAAAACTCATTTTACCTGCCCTCCTGGGATTTCAGATGCACTATTTTAGAATGTCTCGCTGCATAATGATGGCATGAACCAGTGTGAATGCCTTGAATTTAAAATTAAATGCTTCCTAAGTATCTTGTATTGCTTACTGTTAAAAATAGAAGTGCCACAGTGCCATTAATTTTTTTTAACTGGCATTCAGCTGGTTTAGATCCCATTTATGTTTAGATTCCATCAGTTACTCTGAGTGCTTCTAATATTCCCTTTAATCTGGGAACGCAAAAAACATTCTTTAGCCTTTTGTTGCATTGTCTGTCTGGCAGTCCTTTTGAAAAGTTTTACTCTTGCTTAGAGAATAAAATGCCTGAAATGCCCATATTGCCTGTGCGAAATAACCCACCTTTACTTGCTCTCTTGCAGGCTTTTAAGGTTTTTCCTTAGTTTCCTTTCCCTTAGTTTGGTTTCACTCTAGTTTGCCCCTTCAGAGTTACAAAAAGTCAGAGATGCAGTCTTTAAAGAGATTTTTTGAAGTAATTGGTGTTTGCTTCTGTTAGAGCAAACAATAACCAAGGCTCTGTTACTAACACCGTGACCCTATTGTCCGATCACACCAGAAGATTTATAGATTTTTCAGATCCGTATTCATGGACTTTTCCCTCTAAGCCATGGAGGTTTCTCCCTGAATTCCGTGGTGTTTGGCTTGTTTCGCCTCAAAACATCAAAGTTGCTTCCTTCTGCTGGGAAGCTCTCTTGAGTTCCGGCTCAGTGAACTTTTTTTTTTCCCTCTGTAATTTTTAAAGACTGACTTGGTAATCCCAGCTTGCTTTCCACTCGATCTTTTGGAAATGTGGTAAGAAACGCCGTTCACGCCGGCTGTAACCACTGTTGTATTCAGCCATTGTTTGACGTCCGCGGTTGCTGGGAGCTGTTAATGGCTGCTCTGTACCTCTCCCAGGATCCTTGCCCTCTGCACACAAGTTAGTTCTTTAAGATAGCAGCACAACAGTGAGTAGATAGCCTTAATTAAGTAGAATTTGTATAAAAATGCAGAATATTTCACCTTCTCCCCATGAATTCTGGATCAGATGGCCAATTCTTGTCCCTCCCAAAGAATACACACTTGTTAATTGTCCTTCCTAGTAGCTGTGTTGTAATTTTGTTCGATACAAAACAAGGGTGTCTGTGGGTGAGGTCTGTACTACTTAGCAGATATTTTGGGTTATCTGTACTCCAATATGCTGAGATGAGAATGAAACGGTGCAGAAAGAGACGATCAAGTGGTCGGTGAAGCAAAGTTGTTTATTTGTGGACTCCAGCAGGCAGGCGTGGCTGCAGAAATAGGAAAGCAAAGAGCATTGGGCATTCAGAGAATTCTGCAATTTTAACTAGACTTCATCTGCCTTGTCTTCGCTGGCTCACATTTTTTCCCCCATTCTTTCTTTCATATTCTCTTCAGCTTAGTTTCCTTCCACCCCTGTCCCTTCACTTTTTCTTGTGCCATGCCCCCATATAGTCACTATTGACTTTTTTTCCTCCCCGGTTGTCTCGTTCTCTCCCTCCCCATACAACCACTATGCTTTTTCAGTATTCCTTTGCTTTATACCTCCTTTCTCCATCCTCAGCTTTTCTGCTTGCAAAGCTCTGTAGGGTTTAGCATTCTGCGTTTGAGCAGTGCCAGCCACACTAGGTTGCCCCGTTCTTGCTTGCGTTTCAAAGACAAACATAAAAGTTACTAAAAAGAGGATACTGCAAAACACAGTTTGAAGGGGTTTAGTTAAAAAAGAAAGGATTAGAAGGCGTTTTCTTGAGGTCTTTACGATGGTCATGGTAGAATAGGGTGGTCTCACTTTTATATCCTCTTAGAGTATAAAAACAGAGATTCAACTTAAAGGAATACTGCCGTCAGTCGATGTTGAACACTTAGAAGTAAATTGTTCAGATGAAGTGCACTTGGCCAGTGGAAGTCCCTCCTGGTGGAAGGCAGTGACTTAGCTAATGCAACTGAAAAAAGTTCTAAGAATGAGCACGTAACTTCATAAATTCCCCCCCCAAAAATGAAAAGTATGTCACTTCAGAAACAGACCCTCAGACCCTCTACAAAGGCAAAGTGTGGAATAACTGGTACAACAAAAGCAGACTGGGAATGCCTGGGGGTTTATAGCAGAGCGCAAGCACTGTTCTACAATGTTGTAAGCTTGGAAGTTTACTAATGAGTAGAGTCTAATAATTATAAGTCCTCAGGTGAAATACTTTGTCTGGATTTGACACTAAGCTTTCAGATGGATGCAAAATATCCACGTGCAATCGTAAAAGATTGTAACAGTGAAGAAAAGTCAAAATAATGGGCTGTTTGATAAAGAAAAGTGAAGATTTGGGGAGTAAAAGATGAATCGTCCTCCAATATGTACCAGTTTTTTAGAAAAATAATCAAACCTCCTTTATAGCAATTGAAGGGTTGAATAATAGACTTTGTTTATAGCCAGGGAAAGCAGAAGTTGACATAAGAAATTCTGTAAGAATGATTAAATATTGTTACAGGCTATCCAGAAAAAATCACTAGATATTCATCATTAGAACTTTAATGACAAATAAATGTCAGTTACATTTTGTATAGCTTCTGTAGGTCTTGTCCAGTGTTATACTTCTGTTGTATTTAGTTAAGGTGTGCTTTGAGCAATTTCAGAGTACTGTGGGGATGCACAGGTATGCATCCATGCTGATCTGGTTGCGCAGTAAAAAAATATGTGTGTGACAATGTGATAAGTGTCAGAAGCAAGATAACTATGCATATCTTAAAATGAACAAACCTACACCAAAATAAATCTACTTCTGTTTCAGAAAGAACATACTCATTAAGAAATACATAGGAACTTAACAGTATTTTTTTAATACAAAGTAACGAATTTCTAAGGACAACCCCCATGTGATTTATGCAAACAGTAGCTCTATTACTGTATTGTCTTCTACTTGCTTCTGTTTTTCTGATAATTTTCTTCCAGTACTCGGTGTTCTCTGAGTCAGGGACATGTACAGCTTATTTACGTGTGCAATGTCACAGTGACATCCACAGTGCTTCTTAAATTGATATCTATGTTGTCAGTTTAGTTTATAAAGTTTTTACGATAGACTGTTTTTCTTAGTTTTGTGCAACACCCAGGACATTGGAATCTAAGCAGGAGTGTTCGTGTTGGAATAATGAACATAGATAAGAGTATTCATAAGAAGAATATTCTCTGCTGTGCATATTCTTTAGGGCAGCTTTTTAACACAGTTAATGTGGCGCTGTATAGGATGCCATTTTCTCACAACAAGTAATGCTAGAGGTTGAAGTTAGCCTTTACAGAACTTCTGTGTCTTAAATATTGGAGCATAAATTGGAGCTGAAGTAAATTGGGAAAAGAAGAGCTGATATTTTGGCATAGTTGTATAAATGTGTATTTTTCTGCTCCTGTAAATCAGTTGACTACATTTTCAGGAATGGTTTTGTGCAAGTCTCTTGCTGGGTCCCAACTTCTGATAACCCTGAGCACTTGAAAACTGACAGAGATAGCATAGTGGCCAAGGCTAAAACAAGACATGTAATGTCTCTAGTCAGCTTTTAAACATTCGTTTCTGAATACATTTTGCCTTGCTTATATACTCACCTTGTAGTACAATTGGATAGACAATTACATAAATATGCAAGCTATCTATTTCTAAATAACTTTTAGTATAAATTGAGTCATCTCTGGTTTATGTAGCTTTGCTGTTGTTCCAGTTCATGAAAGTTACATGCCATTTTCTTCCCAGAGTGCTTTCTTGTACCAAGTCTTGAAATATTACCACCTGATGTGTAATGCATTTTTCATTGGATGCAGTAGCACTAAATTTAGGTGTTGAATCTGCAGTGCTTCCATGTTTGAGCAGTCTTAAGCTCTGTAGCCCTGTTCAAAGGTGTGGGTGTTAAGAGGCTTAGGGTCTGTCTTTGAGAAGCCCTGAACTGAAGTGAGCTCTGTATTTGTAGTCCTCAAAGTCCACTGTGTCTGGGTGAATGTCTGCTAAAATGATTGCTGTAGTTAGACCTCACTGTAAATTAGCTATACATGTGTATAGAGTTTACTTAATCTTGTAAGTAAAAATGAAAAGCTTAACTACTTAATCCTCTTAAAAAAACCAATCAGTCACACAAACAAACAAAAAGCCCCATTGATAGTGTCAGTTTCCTTTTCACCACATTTGTTTATATGCACCTTCTGGGAAGTAAAGAATAAAAATAAGTAAGCTTG